TGAATTTTGATTCTTAATCGAGGATAAATGTAGATGTCTATGTACCACAACAACCGCTTACCATCAGGTGGACTGTGTGCACGTTTGTCATCCTAATTATATAAAAAATGTGTAGAAGGTTTTTGTAAGAGGTTATTGTCGAATGGATTGCGGATCGTGTCCCGGGGGTCGGGATTATGCAACTATCACGTCAGGACTACGCCGCGACACCGCAGCGATTATGTGATTATGACGGGTGTAACGGCGCCGGGTCAGGTCTGTAATCGAGATTTGGGCTTGTCGGTGGAATAAAGCGGAAACACGAATGATTTTGATTGAAGAAAAGTGGATTTTGTGTCGTTTATTGAATTGTACGACTTTGCTTCTAATCTCTATATATAAAATCAATAGCTGTCTGTAATAGGGGTGATAGACGCACGGATTTGAAGGATTTGAAGTACGCGGTTTTTAAGATTACGAACTTACTCGGCTCGACATAGGTGACACACGTGAAGCTTACTCTCTCTGTGTTGCGATGTCGTGTAGAATGTCATGTAGAAATAATGAATGAGGAAAGAGTGACAAAGCAAATTTATATGGCAGGTGTGAACGGCCGAGTCGGGAAGGGACGCCCTAGAAAAAAGTTTATCGACCAAATTGGCGATATTTTGAAAATGGGCCACGTTAGAAGTACCCTTAACCGACGAGCATGTATGCGTATCAAGAATCAAGAATAATTTATTTGCATAAAACACGGTAAATAAGTTGTTACATCAAATAAAAGATCAACATGTTTTGTCCTGTTAGGACGTGCAAATATTTAAGTATATGATCAATTGAATTTAAATTAGTTATTATTTAAACAGTACAATTATTATTATTATTATAGTATTCATATTTAAAATCGTAATTCATTACAAACAGATTGAATTGAATGCAATTGAATTAAAATGTTATTATTTAAACAGTACAATTATTTTTATTATTATAGTAGTCATGTTTAAAATAAAAATACATTACAAACATTATATTCATGTTCAAGTGAATTTATTTGTAATTAAAAAACTCCTTAATATTATAGAAAGCCCTGTCCACCAACCACATAAAACTTACTAAGAGGCAATGACTTTATGTCGCTAGGCAGTTTGTTAAACACCTTTATTGCCATCGAGTAACAGCTCTTATGAGAGGTTGCCTTCTTTCTAAATGGAAGAACTAGTTTATCCTTATACCTTGTATTAAAACTAACAACATCACTATTTTTTGTAAAAAACTGTTTATGTTTTTTGACCAAGACACCCAACTCGAAAATATAAATGCTAGGAAGTGTTAGAATTTTTAGGGTTGGAAAAAGTTCTCTACAAGAATATAATGGACCAACCCTGCAGATTGCCCTTAAACACTTTTTTTTGAGCAATAAAAGCTTTGTTCACTGTAGATCCATTTCCCCAGAGTATTACGCCATATCTCAAAACGGAATCTATATAGCCATGATAGGCGAGTAAAGCAATTTTTTGAGATGAGGTCCTTGACAATCTTCGTAATGGGTAAATGAACTTATTGATTTTTGTACATACTTCTATAATATGTCTTTGCCAAGTACAACCATCATCAATATGTATCCCCAAGAATTTTGTATTTTGAACCTCCTCTAGTTTTTGTCTATTTATATTAATGTCAATAGTTTCTTTATATTTCCTTAGATTAAATTGTATTATTTTTGTTTTGCCTAAATTTACTTTGAGTCTATTCTTGTATAGCCAATCTGTGACACTTATAACAGCTAGATATATGGATGTAAAGAAGGCGAAAGAGGTATGTCAGGATCGTGCCAAATTGTAGTCCGTAGTCTCTGCCTACCCCTCTGGGTGACAGGCGTGAGTGTTTATATTATATATTATATTATATTATATCGTATTACATTTTATAAACTAAAAAAAATGAAGTTGAAAGTGTGGGTGGAAAGACCTGGCTTACGAAAAGAGACCGTTTATCATATGTGAATTTAGTAATATTCAGTTCAGTTAAAAATTATGTTCTTTACGGTACCCAGTCCTTAAGGAATTAATTTTCTTCTTGACGTTAATAGTAAAATTTTTTAGGTGGTAGAGATATGCTGCAGCTATATTAATTGTATAGTTGTAGCACGAGTGGGTCGGCTCGACCGGGGAAGGACCACGCTCTCACAGAAGACCAGTGTACGTACCAGTACCAGTGGACAAACAAGCATACGGCTCACCTGATCGTAAGTGATTACCGCCACCCATGAACAGCTGCAACACCAGGGGGATTGCAGATGCGTTGCCGGCCTTTTAAATAGGAATAGGCTCTTTTCTTGAAGGTCCCTTAGTCGTATCGGTCCGGAAAAATCTCTCGCGGTAGTTGAAAAAAGTGAGGTGAAAGTTGCTTTTGAGTGGGTGGATTGGTCGGTGGATCCTGGATGATTTAGATTCACTATTGAACACGGCAGGTAGTGCTGTTGTTGAGATCCGGAAACCAGCCGTGCAAAGCCAGGGCGGGTCGCTGGTCTATACATTTAAATAGAGTTGAGTTTCTGTATGTAATATTGAAATAACTGGCTACATATGGAGCTCAGTGGGTTATTTGCTCAATATTAAGAAATAAAAAAATTAAAATTTTTGTCTGATGTCGCGCAATCTCCGGACTAACTGAACCAGCTTATGAACTGAAATAACTTTTGGTGAAGTATTTTCGAACACATAGAGAACAATAACAGGAGGGATCTAGGCAATATTTTACCCAAAAGCCTTAAAGTTTGAATCCAGTCAAGAGCAGGGTGCGTCCCTAGTACTTTAATATAGTACATATTACGATGTTAGCAATGTGTTGTAATCGCTAGTTTGCTAGTGAACGGTTGCATAACCTGCACGATATTTATCGGCGCCAGCTAATGAAGCATTGCACCTCAATCGGCTTAGCTCCGTGGCCTCCGGTGATTGAACTATAATCCAGGTTTGCAGGCCAGTTCATGACCGCTCATTAGCTTGTTACATCCAAGCTCGTTTTTCTATATTCAACATCGAGATAGACCTAGAAACTTTATAACCCAAAAACACAGAAGTAAGTGTTTTACAGAAGTAAGTATGACAATCGAGCACACAGTCCATCTGATGGTAAGTGGATGCTGTGACCCATTTACCATTAATTAAATTTCACAGTATCAGCCTATCAAGTGTCCACTGCTGAATATGGGCCTCCTCTGCATATTGCTTCATAGAGTTGGCAACCGCAGTTATTTTTTTAGTTTAGATTGTTATCAGAAAGATGCTAGTGCACTTTAATTATACTTCATTACTGTTATTACAATAACGGTTTAGTGCCCATAAAAAAAATCGATTAAAAAGTGTAGATTAATAAATTTTATATTTGTTACAAGCGATGCGCCCTGGCTTCGCTTGCGTGGGATCTGTAGATGTACCGTTATTTACATTTAAGATAATAATGATTTTCGAACGAAATAAACCGGAAATACTGAAACAGTATTACTGAAACTTTTGTTTAGCTTACATTTTATTCATTTTTCGTATCTGTTCCTGCTGTCTGTCGTTATGAGACTCGTGACGTCACGGCGCGGTGCCGACACACAGTCAGCTGCTCAGCGAATTTGCATCCCTCCAGCATTTTCCTTGGCATACTTCCCAGCTGCTGTGTTATTATTGCACTAGGCTACCTTGTTACTCTATATCAAAGTTGTAGCGTTATTTAGCATTTGCTTGCTGGCAATATCCAACGATACAGGTCTTAAATTTTTCGTTAATGTATTAAAGTCGTACGTACGTATTTTACTGTAACATTAGAAAAACAAATGAACTTGTACTTGTGTTCAATTCACCAAAATAAGCTACATAAATATATTGAATAAAACTATTATTTACGGATTTTATCGCGTTTAATTACCTTAATTTATTTTTATTATTATCCCGACGTTTCGGGTGCTTTACAGCACTCATGGTCACGGAGGGGATTGAGATGTTTGACGTCCCAATGTCATAGTCCGGCTACCTTCAGTTTTTTTAATATTAATTTTTATCGAATCGAATCGGCAATAAAGCACCCGAAACGTCGGGATAATAATAAAAAAATAAATTAAAGTAATTAAACGCGATAAAATCCGTAAATAATATTTTTATTCAATGTGTAGTGTTCGCGTAAGTTTAAGAAATCATTACATAAATATATTTATTTATTCATCTTTATTTGCACAAATCGCGTACACACAGGTGGATTTAGCCACGAGGCAGCCACCTCAGGTCTACCTCTATATCAATAAAAATTTATAAAATATAATAGACAAATTTCAAAAATTTTAGATATATTATTGTTAACAGTAACAGTAACAGTTAACAGTAGAGTGCTCGATTTAAAAAATTGGTTTCAGGGATTATAATAAATCACCATAATGTAATATAAGCAATGTCTACCAGACCTAATTTTCAGGCCCAGGATTCGAATCAGGCGTTTGTGTACCACCCCTAGACTAACGAGGCAGTTAACCCCAACATGAAGCTTCTTCCATCAGTATTAAATTTTGCTCAATGTTCAAATCATACAACCTTGATTATTTACGGCCTAACTATCTATAATTGTTGAATACCATCTACTTTGTAATAATAATAATATTTTTATAATATACATAAGTATTAATTATCTCTATACCTGTCTTTTTATTTGCATTCAATTTGCATTAATTTATTAAATGAATGTAAATTTTTATGAGTAAAGCTGTTAACTTTTTTATTGTACTTTACGTAAGTTTTGTATCACTTATTTCAGACCCAATTATTACACATAATACTTAGATGGAGTGACAACCTGATAAAACATGCAGGAAGTCAATGGATGCAGGTGGCTCAGGACCGTGCTTTGTGTAATTCCTTGGGGGGGGGGGGGGCTATGCTCAGCAGTCGCCTTGTGAAGGCTTTGGTTAATGAGTGAATGAATCGCACATATTACTTAAAATGGATTAGTAAAATATTCTAATACAAGATGTTTTTTCACAGAGAGGAGCCAGTACTCGAGGCGCCGATCGTGGCAGCAGCAGCCCAGCGGCGCTCTGCTGGCCAACTTTGACACCAGCGTCCAACAGGTGGGTTTTATTCTTTTATATATAATAACGTCCTCCAGAACGAAAGTTCACGGAGGTCAGCCTCAACGAAGACTGCCATCAATGCAGGACAGGCGAACACAGGTGTACTCTCTTTTTCCTCACTCTCCTAGTCCGACGGGACGGTAATCCTACACGACCGGAGCGAGATCAAGTGCAGGGCTAACGATTTTACGCGCTTTCTAAGTGACGGTAATGAAACACCGCCATTTGCCTAACCAAGGGCTGCTACTGAGAATTTTTCGACATAAAAAGTCAATAAATTTTTGTTCTTCTACCCGGGATTCGAACTTGGGACCTTATGTTCAGAAATCGCGTTATCGACTAATAGAGGCTAGTTATATATTACTAGCTGAGTCGGCAGATTATGATAAATAAAAAATAAGTAATATGTAATAATTTGATACGACCTGGGGACCTTCAAGAAAAGAGCTTACTCCTTTCTAAAGGGCCGGCAATGCACCTGCAATTCCCCTGGTGTTGCGGTTGTTCATAGGCTGCGGTAGTCACTTAACATCAGGTGAACCGTATACTCGTTTACCCCCTTTTCTATAAAAAAATAAATAAAACCTATTCTATTGTATTTTCGTTTTTATTTTTATTATTCGAGTTTCACTCCAAGTTTTTTAAAATGTAAGTAAATATAAAGTGTACTGTGGTCCACAGTGCCACTTATCGAATCCTAGCATAGCTATGAACCATCGTCTCGACAAAAATACGAGTACCTACCATTGACTTATATATTACTAGCGTAACGACCGGGCCGACCGAACAACCAAAATGTAAGTAAATATAAAGTGTACTGTGGTGTACAGCGCCACTTATCGAATCCTAGCATAGCTATGAACCATCGTCTCGACAAAAATACGAGTACCTACCATTGACTTATATATTACTAGCGTAACGACCGGGCCGACCGAACAACCAAAATGTAAGTAAATATAAAGTGTACTGTGGTGTACAGCGCCACTTATCGAATCCTAGCATAGCTATGAACCATCGTCTCGACAAAAACACGAGTACCTACCATTGACATATATTACTAGCGTAACGACCGGGCCGACCGAACAACCAAAATGTAAGTAAATATAAAGTGTACTGTGGTCCACAGCGCCACTTATCGAATCCTAGCATAGCTATGAACCATCGTCTCGACAAAAATACGAGTACCTACCATTGACATATATTACTAGCGTAACGACCGGGCCGACCGAACAACCAAAATGTAAGTAAATATAAAGTGTACTGTGGTGTACAGCGCCACTTATCGAATCCTAGCATAGCTATGAACCATCGTCTCGACAAAAACACGAGTACCTACCATTGACATATATTACTAGCGTAACGACCGGGCCGACCGAACAACCAAAATGTAAGTAAATATAAAGTGTACTGTGGTGTACAGCGCCACTTATCGAATCCTAGCATAGCTATGAACCATCGTCTCGACAAAAATACGAGTACCTACCATTGACTTATATATTACTAGCGTAACGACCGGGCCGACCGAACAACCAAAATGTAAGTAAATATAAAGTGTACTGTGGTGTACAGCGCCACTTATCGAATCCTAGCATAGCTATGAACCATCGTCTCGACAAAAACACGAGTACCTACCATTGACATATATTACTAGGTAACGACCGGGCCGACCGACCAAAATGTAAGTAAATATAAAGTGTACTGTGGTGTACAGCGCCACTTATCGAATCCTAGCATAGCTATGAACCATCGTCTCGACAAAAACACGAGTACCTACCATTGACTTATATATTCAGCGTAACGACCGGCCGACCGAACAACCAAAATGTAAGTAAATATAAAGTGTACTGTGGTGTACAGCGCCACTTATCGAATCCTAGCATAGCTATGAACCATCGTCTCGACAAAAACACGAGTACCTACCATTGACTTATATATTACTAGCGTAACGACCGGGCCGACGAAAATGTAAGTAAATATAAAGTGTACTGTGGTCCACAGCGCCACTTATCGAATCCTAGCATAGCTATGAACCATCGTCTCGACAAAAACACGAGTACCTACCATTGACATATATTACTGCGTAGGGGGAAAATGTAAGTAAATATAAAGTTTACTGTGGTGTACAGCGCCACTTATCGAATCCTAGCATAGCTATGAACCATCGTCTCGACAAAAACACGAGTACCTACCATTGACATATATTACTAGCGTAACGACCGGGCCGACCGAACAACCAAAATGTAAGTAAATATAAAGTGTACTGTGGTGTACAGCGCCACTTATCGAATCCTAGCATAGCTATGAACCATCGTCTCGACAAAAACACGAGTACCTACCATTGACATATATTACTAGCGTAACGACCGGGCCGACCGAACAACCAAAATGTAAGTAAATATAAAGTTTACTGTGGTGTACAGCGCCACTTATCGAATCCTAGCATAGCTATGAACCATCGTCTCGACAAAAACAGAGTACCTACATTGATTGCCGGCGACGAACAAAATGTAAGTAAATATAAAGTGTACTGTGGTCCACAGCGCCACTTATCGAATCCTAGCATAGCTATGAACCATCGTCTCGACAAAAATACGAGTACCTACCATTGACTTATATATTACTAGCGTAACGACCGGGCCGACCGAACAACCAAAATGGACCAGTGCGCTGGCCCTAAAATTACAGTTTAGGGCCAGCGCGACTCGGTCGACAGTGGTGAGACAGATTTGCTTGTCATAAATATGTCTAGTTGTGTGGTAAAAAAGGTGCAAAATTACGATCCAAAGATTAAATAGGAACATGGGATATCGTATCATCGGTAAAATAATCTTATATTCATTTTGTTAATATTAAATTATTATATAAACGCAATTTTAAAGTTTTATTTTATAGTTAGTTTATTAACGTTACCAAGATTAGGCCAGGGTTGGATTCAGACCCTCAAAAATATTGTACATGAAAAATAAAATTAGGTATACTATTTTTCAAAAATTTTATCACGTTTGACGTTTCATGTTTCTTTTTTCCCATGATTTTGGCGGGATTTTGGTGTCACGCGTCTAGTTTATCTGTACGTTTCGTTTTTTGGCGGTTTTATTTTTATTTTTGTTTAATTTTTGTCTAAAGAACTTAGTGTAAGTTAAATTTTGAATATTGGTACCTAATATATTTTATATTCAATAACGGTAAAATGAAAAGAGTACAAAAGAAACCATATCTGCTTAATTTAATCTAAAATTCTGATTCATAAAATATTTTGAAGTTCTGCGAAATTCTTAGAGCTTAGAGTTTTTATCGTGGTGGCCCGTCATTACAGTTGTATCAAGGATGCAACATAAATGCATCGATCGAGCACCGATTGATCAGAAAAGGAGCTAATTCTAATTTTATTAAAAAAAACGCGGTACTCATGTACAATACAGAAATTCTCGATATCGTAGGGTTAATATTAAAAAGTAAAAGGACTCAATAATAATACAAGTCGACCTTTAGATAAAATTATGGTATTTTCGCTTGGTATTATTACAATATTACATACTACAAACTATGACATATTGGTATAATTAGGATAATAATTATACTACGAAATCCAACCCTGGTTACGTTGTGTTATGATATGACGTTTGTATTATGACATGTGCGCTACTTTTTCTTGTATGAAAAACTTACGAGTAAAATGTTTAGATGGGCCTATCCTTCCTTTTGAAATCATTGGTACCTACATATTAAAGAAAATGGTAATTTACGAACTAATTCCACTCCAGTCGTCTCTACATGTGCACACAAATATCACTCAGATTGACTAGTGATACATTGAATAAAACTATTTATACAGCTTTTATCGCCTTTAATTAACCTACTTTAATTCCCGACTTTCCCATGTAAAGCATCCATGGAAATGTAATGTAACGTGGTAGAGCCACACTGCGGCTATATTATGGTTGTAGCACGAATGGGTCGGCTCGACCAGGGAAGGACCACGCTTTCATAGAATACCAGCGTAAAATAGCAGCTTAATGATGCTGTGCTTCTATAGGTGAGTGTAGAGAACCGGAGATCTATTTTACTGGAATCGAGAATCCATCTTAGTCCTCAGGGGTGACAACGCATCTGCATTTCGATTCTTAGTCGAGGTTAAATGTACTTGTCAATGTACCACAGCATCCACTTACCATCAGGTGGACTGTGTGCTCGTTTGTTACTCTTATTCTTTTTATTAATCCATTTGTTTTTCCTTATACAATAATGCAAAGTTACGTATAAAATTAAAGCATGGCATATGTTTTTATATGTACTAAAAATATACGAAAGCAGAACATCGTGTTATTGGTTAGTTTATTTTTTGTTATTTAAAACTTAAGTGGCAAACAATCTTACTCTACACATTATAATAGAACTAGTTCTTACGGATTTTATCGCGTATACGAACTTATATTAATTAAAAAAAGTTAATATACGTACTTGTATATAGTTATGCAGTGTTCGCGGAAACACATTCAACCTGATTATAAGTGGCTACTGATACCTGCAACCTGCATACTAAATATACGCAGGGTGCAGGTATATTGTAATGGTGTCATAACTTCTGTGCGAGTTACGCGGAATTCTCTGCCTCGCCTATTTCTATCTAAAAAGCAGACGACGCATCTGCCCCCGGGTGTAGCAGATGTTCATGAGCGGCCGTGATCATTTACCATCAGTAGAGCCGTATGCTCGTTTGCGTCCTCCACTTAAAAAGAACTTCCAAAACCTCAGTTGAACATCAAGTATACATTGGTGTAATTGCTTAGAATCGGCCCTACGAGCCGCGCGCTTCAATGCGTCCGACGGGCGAAATAGCTTCCTAATACCTGTTTAATAACACTGTATCATAACGTGTTTTTCTTTCAATAATTTCTTTTTTTTTGTTCTATGTATTTCCTCTTCGTGTATTACGTGGTTGGAAAATGGTTCCTATAACCACTTACACCACTTTCGAAACTCAGGTATAAACCATA